TCTTATAAGTTCTCGAATATTGAAGAGATCGTTACTCCTTGTATTTACGAATTAGCAATTTTTTTGCACAATGATCAAGGGATATTTGTTGAGATTAATGACAAAGATTTTTTTCCAGGTTTTTGTTTTTTTTTTTTTCATTTACATTGGAACAACGAGTAAAATACTTATGTCGTTTAGGTTTCATAGTGTTATTCATTAAAATAGGTTTTGAATGCGATTGTGCGCTACTGAACCTTAACCAAGCCGGTTTATTTATGCTCAAGTCAGATTTGGTCTGGGGATTCAATATAGCAAAGAGAATTAGTTGCCATTGCATTGTATATCTTTAACTGTGTTGCTGGACAAGGCACAGCGCATTGACCATCATGTCCACTCTCTCCCTCCTCATCCTTCATCTTCGATGTCTCACCGCTTCCTCTTTTCCTGTTGTTTAAAAAAAGTTAGAAAATTTGCAAACTCTTGAAGCTTCATGACTTATTTGAGGTGGAACGTTCTTGTTGATTTCAGAAAATTTGAAAATTTGATTTTGGCTTGAACAAAGAATGAACGAGTGAGCCGGAAAGAATGGTTCATTGAACTGTTCACGTAACTTTTTCTTTGCAGTACCCAATCATTAAAAAATTTATATCTGGCTAAATAAGTTCAGATTTAATGGCGATACAGAGTACAAATTAAACAGCTGTGGGAGTCTTATCTTTTACTTCTTTTTTCTTTTATAGGTTTCTTTCAACTTGTGGGGTCAAGCGGAATTTTCTGAATGCATCATTGTTGTTTCGAGAAGCTATAGTTATTTTTCAAGGTATGGTAAATTTTTGCAAAAGCATCGTATTTGTAAATTGTTTGGAATCGAATCAGGTTTGAAGCTCTTGGCATTTCGCATTCGTAACATTATGGAATTCCAATGAGGATTGGACACCGTTTGCATTTTAAATTTTTTCCTTCTTTTTTTGTTGCAGTAGGAGGTTTCTTGAACAGTGTTTTCTTGTATTCCACTGGTTTTGCTATAACGGAGTGTTTTGGTTACATATGAAAAACGCTGGTACTTTGTAGGATAACTGCCAAAAATAGAGCTCATAGTAAAGCCTAATGCGGTCACCCATTTTCCTGCCGCGCCCCCCTCTTTGACTTTCTGTAAAATGTATTTTCCAAAGTGGTGGGAGGAGTAGCATTAGATAGTATATGAGGTAAAAAGCAGTTTATCAGGATAAGCTCTAGAAAAGATCAGGGTGTCGGTAATTCGAAACCTAACTTTTTTAAAATTTATTTTTTTTTTTTCATTTTCAAATACTGAAAAACAAAACTGTTTCAAGAAAACAATGAATTACTGTTAAATCATCTCGTATTTGCATTTCTGTCCTGTTTTCGATTGATACAGATTACAATAATATGATATTAAACGAAGGAGAAAAGGCTGTACTGAAGAAGAATATCAGGAACTGTGACAAAAAGGTGTTAAAGATGTGTTAGTTTTTAATGTGAGGAAAAAACAGTCAGTTGAGATTGTTAAGGCAGATGCTTAGCTTTTTCATTATTTGTAACTGACCAGTCTTAACGAGTGAGTTTTAACTTGTGCAAAAATCTGCATACCATACAGGAATATTGAGCTGGCATACCCATTAATCCCATCGTATTGAATGTGGGAATACGAATGTTTTTTGGCTTGGTTACGGTCGATTTGTAAAAACTGAGAAAGCGCAGTTGGTTTAGTTCAGTGGCATGATGATTTTGCTTATCTGTTTTTTCCTACCAGCTAATTTTCTTATCCACTCATAAGCCGTTTTTAGGGTCGTTAATTTTTACCCTTTAAGCATGCGATGAAGAAAAATCTTTTTGTTTTAGTTTACTCAGAAGGAAGTGTAACGCTTAGTTCAGTTTCATGGGTGGTTCTGAAACCACCAACTCTTGACTGTCTGTCTGTTCACTATCAACTA